TCGACGACTGATTTAATAGTCGACGCGTCGTTTGAAGCTTTGTAAGATCACAAAAGACGCAGGAATAAGTAGTAGGATTTAAGAGTGTAATAACGGACTGAAACAGAAGATGGCAGCACTGCATGTACAAGGATGCCAGCTGCCGTTAAACCCCGAAGAAGAAGAAGAAGCTGTGTCCCAGAATTCATAGCAGCCCAGCTCAGTTTCCAACAATGGCGGCAGCTAGTTAGTTTTAATATTACTCTTATTATTCTTTCTGGGTCACAAAATAAACGTTTAACATATTTTCAGGTGAGAATGTAGCTGTGTAAACCTCAAATATCTGCTCAGTTTATCAAGACACCACATATTTTCAAAAGCGCTCCGACGTTTTCGGAGACGTCTGTTACCCACTAGCTCGATAGCTAGCTGGGGGCTAGGCTCACTAGAGCCGTGAAAACACCGGACTCCCGGCAAATCGTTTTCAAACCCACCGCCGTCTTTCGCTACTCAGGTTAAACATGATATATAAGTCACTTAGATAACTTAAAAATGTTTGGCTTTTTTAGTATTTTTATTTGTTCCTGAGTAAATCGGTTTGGCTGAGATTAAAGTTATAGTTTTTACACAGCTGAATAAACATCAAGGAGACAGCTGATTATCAGAAGTGTGAGATGCTCGAGAATTTACTCCGTTGTCCTGTTATATTTTAGATAGCAAGGAGTTTATTAAACTTCACCGAAACAATCTGCAAATTTCATTAAAATGTAATAAACTATCATCTTGTCTTTATTTTTAGTTAGCACATACCTTAAACACTTAAAGCTGTAAGCTAATGATAGTTATATAAGAGCAGATGCTGCTGGTGCAATAAGCTGTAGTTTTAAGTCCAATGAATGATGATCTGATTAGTTGACTAATCGCAAAAATAATCGGTGACTAGTCGACTATCAAAATAATCGTTTGTGGCAGCCCTAATCCAGAATGCAATATTATAGCTCTATTACAAAAATGGGTCTATTATGGGTATGTTATGAAGGTATTTTATGCATAAATAAATAAATACAAAAACAATATTAGAAAAGTTAAAAGCAACAGTGGTGGGCCCTTAAAAGAAGTCAAGTAAATTGAGTTGGACTGTAACAGCAGTAAGAGTCCAAAGTAACATAAGGATCAAGACCTGTTCCAACAAAGAGGAACTCAAATACTGATGAGATCAACACTAACACACGACCTCATTAAAGGAAACAAAGGCAGCAGTTGGTTAAATCTGATTGTGGTGTCGATGAGCACTGTTAGGTTTGGTCAAAGGTATCAGTGTAATATGAGTTAGGTTAGGCTTCCTTAGTACTGGCCATGGGTTGGATGCAGTGAAGTAAACAAACAAAGAGCAGTAAACCTCAGAGTCCGCACAGCTCAGCTGTGCTCACGATTTTTATTCAACTTATCTCGAAGTCAGCGTGTAATTCCCTCTTTGGGTCCTTTGTCCTGCCAAACACAATTAACAATCGTTTTTCTCCTTAGAATCAGTTCCACTCTTGACCTGCTAACCTAAGTGTCTCACCTGCAAGGCGAAATCTCTGGGTTTTAACTTTTCAAATGAGCATCTTCCATTAAACACCTGTTATTGCAATAAACTGAAATGAACGGTTTCCTAGTGTTTACATATTGGTTCAGAGGCTCCTGAAAGCAGTCCAAGTTAAACTGGTTTAACTAGAGGAGATGCTCCAGCTAGCCGCATGCTAACGTTAGCTCTGGTCTTACCGACAGGTTTATGTCCGATCATCGCGTGGAACAGGCACACCTCCACCTCGTGGCTCCACACCACCGAGTCCTCCCCGGGAGCCAACGCCGAATCCGGCGGCTTCTCGTCGGTCTGGTTCAGCGTCACATCAGCTTCTCCCATTATTAAGGCAAAACCTAAAACTGGCCAGAAGCAAACGACCGTGCTCCGTTTGCATCGGCAACCGGAAACGTAGTAAGACTTCCGGGTATCGGATTTCAAGATAAAACGACAAAACATAGCCAGAGTGGAAAAAAGTTTTAAAACCGAATTTTGAGGTAAATTCATTTATTTATTTTTTAACAACTTCCAATAATAATCCTGCACTTACAGTTTCAGTGACCGTCGAAGTTAAAGTTAAATTATAACTTTATATATTTATTTAGAAAAGCATTTGATTAATTTCTTCTTATGCTGTTTTTATAGTTTTGTTTTACATTGTTTTATTTACTGTTATATTGTTTTTATATTCCCATTTCCTGTGTTGTAAAGCACTTTGTGATTTTTATCTGTGAAAAGCGCTATATAAATAAATTTTACTTACTTACGGTCCGTTAAAACGCCACATAAAGATGGCTCTAGAATTTTCTCTATGTGTTTGGCACAGAGACACCTCAGAAAAGTGAAGTTTGTTCCCCAAATCTAGTAAATAATTCAATAAAACAAAGTAAAAGTGTCTAGGGACCTAAAAGACCTTAAAACTGCTTTCGTTTGAGGAAGTCGCAAAGAAAGCGACTGGACTTAAGTTTCTTTCCAAGCCAGACACTTTATTGTTTTAATTTTACTAGAAAGCAGCATCAGAGATAGGATTATTTGTATTTTTGGCATCAACATTCAAATTTATGTTAAACATTTTTATTTTCTATGATATTTCCATATTTTTAAAGCCTCAAAAGACAAATTTAAAACCAATTTATCAGTGAGTTTACCATTGTCAGACATCAGATTTAAATCAAATTACAAGCCTCAAATATATTGCCTCCCCAAATTAGGAGTTCCTCAGGGATCTATTGTAGCTCCTCCATGGTTCTCAAAACAAGACAATGTAGTTTAGAAAACTATGTATAAATGCCCAAACAAACAAACTTTGTCGTGATAATAAAAAATGCACTTTTTCAGGTGCTATTTTGCCAAGTAGTTAAATTGTTAAGCACCAAATCTCTAAAGGTGAACACACAAGCAGTGGATGAGGAGTCATAGAAGCAGCCAGACTCAAAGGTTATGCTTCTCTATACGGTGATCAAAACACCAAAAGTTTTATTGCAAATAAAACGGATACAGTTGGCGCCGTAAAACGGCCGCCACCACAAATACAACCAGAGAGGAAGAAAAAAAAAAACAATTTCAGGTACATCATATTTAAAATTAAGTGGCTACTGAACTTCACTGAGCTGAATATGAGCATTTTGTTTTTACATTGATACAAAAACTGTGCACCTCTTAATAAAGCATCCATAACAATCAATAACATTGAGAGTATTAACGTGAGGCCGATTATGTCCAGTTAGGCAGGGTTTGTCCAAGCATCCAAAAACTTTAATTATCTGCAACTGCATATGATTTTATTTAAAAACAAGTTAGGACCGTTTTCCATTTAAACCTTTACTTTGAAACTCTGAATTACATTAAATTGCAGTTGTACTTGCATTAGGTTAAGCTTACTGGCGTATCCCGTGGAAACGGTTGTAGGATATGTTGACATTATGGGAAATGCAGTTTCAAGCAGCAGATTTTGGAAATGAACCTGTAACACAGGCCAACAGTCACGACGTCTCCAATTCTGCTGAATTTTATTGGCTATTTTTCTCAGTTTGATCCTAGTTTGAGGAGGCTTTTGTAAAACATCCTGTGACACTTTGCCTCCTGGGCTCATTCTCACTGCTTATCAAACGAAGAAGCCACGGAGCTCCGCCCCCTTGCACCTTTTCACCAATAAGGTGTGAGAACAATGCCTCTTGCTGGGCAGTGAAAGCAGGTCAGTCTGCCGCCGCCTCCTTTTGCTCTCCTCTCACAGGCCAGAACTTTAAGACTGAAAAGCAAGAATCCAGTTTTTATTTATCCAGACAGGAAAAAGTTCACCTGTGCAGCCGATTAGATTCCAGACACTCCAACTGAAAGAGACAGCAAGGAGCGAGATTGAGGGAAAATATTTTGTACCTTTAGTTTCTAACTACAGCTGTTTTTGTCATCATTATTTATTTATTAGGAGTGGCTGCACTGCAGTATTCACACCTGGAGCTATAACTAATTATCTCACTGAACTAAAGAACCACAGTTGGAGTTCAAGTCGCCGCCTCGTTTTCCAAACTGTGCTTTTGGTTTCTAAACATTTTCCACAAAAACCACACTGGCATTTTTCTGTCACCACAAAAAGTGAATCTGTTACACGTCTGCTCAATAAAGCTCCAGAACCTTCACAAGAGACTGTAAATAAAAGACGGACAGTCACTGTGGCATCAGTGAGGGCAGGTCTGACGTGCTCACTGATGCCACAGACGTGTCAAACCTGCTGTCTCACATTTAAACTAAGCTAGTGACTGACGCCGTAGACCAATGATTGCTAACATGTGGGCTGCAGTGATAACAGCAACTCAGTCTTACTCAAGTAAGTTAAATATTTATATAAATTTATATCCATTCATCCTCTTCTGCTTATTGTCAGGTTCACAGGCAGGTTGGAGTCTATCCCAGCTACCGTTGGGCGAGAGGTGGTTGGATTGTTATTACTGAGCTAAATTTGCTGCTCTTGTATTCAGTTTTGTGTCCCAGTGGCAGCTGGTCACACATTGGCCTCAACACTTTATAGCAAACAACCTGCTTTTTTGATGTTTTTTGAAGAAAATTGAAGAAAAAACAAAACTAAATTAATACTTTCTCTTGAATTTCAGAGGGAAACTTTTAAGACTGGATGAGCCTCGTGGGACTTTGTTGCAGCTCTCTTGACTTTGGGAAGAGCCATAAACTATTGATCTAACTAATCCAACACATACAACTGGAACTCTTTCATCTTTTATAGACATGTCTACAATATTAGCTCTCATCTGTGCACCAATTCACCTTTAATTTCCTAATTCCAAAACAAACCAACTACTTGATCCTCGTCAGGAACAGGAACCATATTTTAGGTTAAAAACCTGTAACACTCGGACTGTTTCTACTTCCTTTCTGCGCCTCAGCTGTACGGCCCCACGACCTACAGCTGAGGGTTTAACTTGAAGCCACGTTAGCACCACAGGCCTGATTGGAAAGCAGATTTATTCTCTGACAAACAGCCGGACAGACAGGGAGAACTCACATGTACAGTCAGCATGGAGACAAGTGGATGTAAACACAACACAGCTTTAACAAATGACAACATAACTGTATACCTAAAAAACTGAAACTGTTAGCCGGGGTTTCCCTCTTAAAATTCTGGCCTATTATAAGAAACAAATACAGATAAAACCAGTTGAAGATGATGATGATGATGAGCAGAAGGCAGTGTGAGCAGCGCCTGGTGAGCGGAGACGCCCGGAAACAAAGAACCACATCATTCCCACGCCTCCAGACTTTTTACAGGATCAGATTCTGGGGATCGTCACAATCATCAGCGGTTCTTTGTTTGAGGGTTTCAGAAAAAAAAAGGAACAAACAAGAAAGAAAATGGCAGCAGTGCTCGCTTTTCCGTCCGACTCGTCCACGCTCGGGGCCGTGTAAAGGCTAAAACAAGCGCTCCTTCTCGTTTCCCTGCCTATCTGAGCGGCGAGCTGCAAACACATGATGAGATCCGATTGGACAGGTGTTCCCTGACACGCCACTTCGTGGTCCTGTGTGAGGATTCGTGGTAGGCACCGGGTCCCAAAACGACTTTTAATAATTACAAACATCATCGTTGGCAGCGCGACGGCAGTCGTAACCACGGGTAACAGTCGGCGGCCGCTCCCGTGGTTATCAGAGACAAACGCGTTGGCAACATGAGCCCCGTTTCCCCTGGCTGACAAGCTGGAGAGACTGGAGGGGGCGGGGCTTCAGTGAAATGTGGTGGCAGCAGGCTGATGATGAAAAGTATTTGAAGGAGGGAGGGCAGGGGGCGGGGGCGACATGGATATTATTGGTCCTTCTTCTCTGACTCTGTCGCTTCCTCTTTAGTCTCCTCAGATGACTCCTCATACCTGAAGAAGAAGAAAAGGACGATGTTAGTGTGTTTCACGGATATGAATCCAATGCTGCAGTTCCTCTAACGGCCTCTGGAGGCTGGCTCCAAGAGCGAGTCGGTCTGCTCAAACACGCCGATTCAAACAGTTTGGATTCTCGCCAATTTCCACCTTAAACCTACTGAAAGGTGAGCGATCACTTTTTTAATAAATCACCCATTTGGATTTTCTCGAGGCCTAAAGTTACGGGTGCAGCTGCTTTGCAGCGTTTGTAAAGATCGGTGGAACAAACAGTATCATCGTATTTTATTTCTCGGTTAATTAGCAGCGACCTGAGTCTGTGCACTGCACCTGTCTGCTCTACCAGTGCTAATCAAGCTAGCGACACCCCACCTTTGGATCAGCTGAATCTTTCCTCCTTCATGATTTTATTAATGTTATGAAGGTGAATCTGATGATGGTTTCATGTAAGCAGGTTAATGGGCTCATTAATGGGCTTTTTACCTGCCCAGGTGAGAGAGAAGGGGACAGTAAAGATAGAGGGGCGGGGCTTCTACATCGAGGTGGGTTGTAATCTGCGGTGGCGCGGGGAGGAGCCTGTCGCCACAGAGACGGCATCCATGGAGCTAGCCAGGCTTGCGGGAGAGCCGCTGACGGTTGGAAAGGAAGTAAGTCTGGGAGAGGCGGGAAGAACTTCCTCTGAAGACTCATAGCTAACCACGGGGGGGACACGGGGGACAGAGGAAGGAAATGGAGACACAGAGGAGATAAAGAAAAAGAAAAGAAAGAAAAAGGAGATGATAAAAGTAGTGAGAAAGAAAGGAGGCAACGACAGAATGAAATCATCTTAAACTCTAAAGGTCTAAGTTTCTATAGAGCTCTACTGCCGCAACAAACGAGGAGCACGGAGGATAAAGACCGACCGGAGAGGTGAAAACAGAAGATGGGAGCGAAGAAGAGAGGTGGGAAAAATGTAAGAGAAAGTACGAAACAGACATGGGAGTGAAATGATGAGGTCGATGAGCAGGAGACCTTCAGTCTGCTGACAGAAGCACCTGAACATACAAAGACTCTGCATTTAACATGGAAACTGCTGCTCGGAGAACCTCGGCGGGTCCTGCAGCGCAGACTAAACTCCAGACAGAGAGATCCTTTAAAAACTGAGCAGCTGCTTCTGTTTTTAAAACACTATCATTCAATCAGGCCCCGAGGTTTCAGCCTCTCCTCCTGCACTGGAGTGTCTGTGCTGAAGTCAAGGTCCAAATCTTATTTATTCTTAAATGAAACAAAGAAATGTGGTTTAGCAGACGTGCACTTCGGTGCATTTAATAACAGAAATGCTTCACTGTCATTGGTCGATAGATCACACTTTTAAATATGACATTATACCCGACAGCAGCGGTTTGGCTCGCCGGGGCAGTATGTGTTTGTCTGGCATAAAAAAGAAAAGAAAGAAATCTGTCCAATCACAGAGCTTCATTCTGGAATAAACAGCCAATAGGGTTTCAGTGCGCCATGCATGAGATTCTGAACCTTTAATCCACCAAACAAAGAATCCTCATGAGTCTAACTTCAGTAATTACAAATAAATCTCAGTTCGTTCATTTTAGTGCAAACGTGTGTTCAGACGTCAGAAACATGTTTTCCTGCTAAAACAAGCTCGGCCCTGCTGCCTCATCATGTGGTCACCGTGGTTACTCACCTGAACATCTCTGTGAGCTCTCCTTTGAACAGCGCTATGATGACGGGGAAGCCGACACAGGCGGGCACCAGGTACAGCAGGGCGGGCTGGACACAGACGCCAGAGATTAAACAATCAAACCAGCATTTAACAGCTTTTAACGTCCTCAATCATTAAAACTGAGACGGGCAACATCATCGGGTCTTTTTTAAATAAATGATAACTGTAAATACTAAATACAGCAGCAGAGCATTTAATGGTTTCTTTCCCTTGTTTGGATGTTGTCTGTAAATAAATAAACGGCACAACAACAAACAGCCGTGAGCGACGAGTAAATCCTTAAAGTTTTATTGGCTGCGGCTTCTTAAACACACCCTGTGCAAATTTAATACCTACAGCAGATTTTCCAGAAAATTAAAACTTCAGACTTTTCACTTAATAAGCTGCTCACAAAATCAGACTTCATGTTTGTCCCAGTTTGTTAATAAAGCCGACGTTTAGTCCGCCTCCAGGAAACATCAGACTCCACGTTAAAGCAAAGGACGGACGCTGAAGTTAAAGTTCCCGACCAGCGAGAACACAGAGTCACTGCAGCAATTCAGCCATTTCATCAACCTCATGTTCTTGGCAACTAATTATCAGTTGTTTAAATAAGAGGAAAGGAGAGCAGATTAGCTGACTGTAACTCTGGTCGGTATGACAGGATGTGGTTTTCATCGTCTTCACATGGGGGAGCTTCAGGGTCCCAGAGGTGGTTTAAACTGGAAATTCGAAGCTTTACTGCACTGATGATAAAAGGAATAACGCAGGAACACAAAGGTCCCAACCCTTAAATCGGAGCCTCTCTCCTATTCAAAGCTCTCTGG